AATTTTGAATGTTTAATACAAAAGTCGAAGGGATATTTAAGGTATATTTTAGGCGTGAACGCTTACACACGTATAGAATACACTGACGTATCCGCTCTACGCCATTATTCTGCACTTCACGCTTAAAAAATACCTTAAATATTCCTTCGGCTTTGTATTAAACTGTGTATAAAATAAGAGTGAGCGTGAAAATGGTATAAACGTAGCGTGCGTAAGGAATACACGCCGTATATTTTTATCGGCCTTTTTTTGAGTGAATTCGTAATTATATCGCAAAATATTTCAAATTTTTGATAACATTGCAGATAATGGTGATTATGCGACTCTGTTGATAACAAGCCTGACAGAAAATGCAATACAGACGCATCAAAAACCTTTAACTAGTAGTTTTAATATTTGTTTTGTTTTCTTCACCTTCGACTCATGTTAGTTATAACAGAATATGGCCAGCTCAAAATGGCTGTCAAACTACACTGACACACACGAAATTGTATATATATTTTTCAGTGTAGATGTCGAAAACCATTCTATTCGGTTTGATAACAAAAAATAAATTCCATATTCATTCATATCTTCAATTTTCAAAAGTGCATTCTCCCCCTAGCTTCAAACACCAAATGTCATGAGTGTATCTACCAAAAAGATCGTTTGTACGATCACGAGCTCTTAAAAACACCTTCTATAAATAAAAATTGTAAATATTTAGCGGTGAAAATTGAATAATGAAACCGAAAAAAAATAACGTTATCAAATAAAAGAAAAAAGGCAACTATTTTGATTTAGTAATTTGTATTTTGCTGTTTTTAATGGGTTTGTAATAATTTTTCAACACCAGTATGAAATCCATCAAATCGAAGATATATCGTAACACGTTCGTTTTATTCGTGTGAATTTGCAATTCTTCTCGACGATGGATGGTTCTTACTTATGGATTTTTGATCGTATAAATTAAGTTGGTTTATAATAATACTAAAAATAATATGAGAATAATATAATTACGAAAGTATCAATAAGAATGAGAAAGAATTATAAAACTATTCATCATATAAATCCATATATTTGTGTAAAATCCATCAATAGAGCGACCATCGAGGGTGAAATCACTCTTTTCAATTACTTTTCAGTAAAAAATCAATAGTTAGATTGTAATTTTAAAAGCAATTGCCAGAAAAAAAAGCTAATTGCAGAGGTGATAAGAACTTGGATGTAATTTTTGGCCAAAAATTACTTTTGCAATTAATTTCTTTCTGACAATCACTTTTCCAATTACTTTTTAGCAAACTATTAATTTTGACTGAAAAGTAATTGAAAAGAGTGATTTTCCCCTCGACCACTTATATTTGCGAATGGAAGCGCACGCACTTTGAAAAGACGCACCAAAAGACCTCACATTTTTCCCTAACGTTTGTTATATCAACATCTTTCAGATTTGGTTTCGTGTCTGGGATGCATCGCAATGTTTTCCTTACTGGACACTATACCATAGGGGCATTCATACAATATTTGCTCACATTTGTATGAAACATGAACATTCAAAAAATATTTGCGGCATTTGTGGGTAAATACTCAGTATTTGCGACGCATTTGCATGATATTTGCGTCACTTTTGCTTCTTTTTCAGAATATTCACAATATTTTTTCTAGTGTTTTTTCAACACAATTGCCGCCATTTTGAATATTCATGAAATGGATTTGCAAGTTTGCATTTCATTTGCCAACATTTGCGAAGTATTTACGAAAAAAAATACACATTTGATTTTTGTGCTTTGCCCCTGGACTATACCTAATCATCGTATGAAAATATACAGATTTTTGTATCCACCAAATACATCGACATAAAATCGATTTTTATTATTTTTTTGCGTAACATTCGATCATTTATCAATCGTTTACATTGATTACAAATAAATAAAATCTAAGAACTATATAATTTTGTCAATGTTTCCCTCTCTTGAGCATAATTGTTTTGTGCTATTAAAGCGGTCAAATAATGCCAGTTAGAGTTACTATATTTGATAAATGTGTGTGTGTGTGTGTTCATTGTACAATATGCTCACAATGTGGTCGCACTTCTCTATAGTTTTCCTAACATATTTCGATTTTTTTCAGAAAAAGTGTTTTTAACAAAATTCGATTTTGAAATTTTGAGGTTTCGGAATTGAATTTTGTTCAGTTTTTCATGAAGAATTTTATGGTGGTTTCAGTTTTCATTTATGATGAGTCGTTTTGAAAAATTTGCCAGGTTAATAACGAAAATATGTTATTAATATGTTAATAAGATCGGTTATCTTATTAACTAGCATTTTTGGGTTAATTTTTCAAAATGCTCAATCGAAGCTTCAAACTGAAACCACCACAAAATTCTTCGTGAGAAACTGACCAAAATCCAAATTTAAAACCCCAGAATTTCAAAATCGAATTTTGTTGAAAAACACTTTTTCTGAAAAAAATCGAAATATGTTAGGAAAACTATACACTTCTCTTCGTTTAAATCAAATCTTCACCAATATAATTTCTATGAAAGGAAAAAGAATCATTGGATGAATACAAAAAGGGAAAGATCAAAGCAAATAGTTAAATGGTCAAATCGAGGAGGAGGAGGAAGAAGAAACGGGTCATCATTGAAGTACGATCATAAATGATACGATTTAATATCCTTTTTTGCAAATATTTGGATTATAAAAGGAAAGCTGTATGTTGATTTTGTCGCCGCTTATAGAAATATAACAATATAAATTATTATTCATATTCATTATCTTAATTCTCTTATGACGAAAGTACGGTTGTGAATTTTTTTTTCATCGTATAAATTGGTTTATAATAATACTTAACGGATGCTTCGATTTGTACAAGGAAGTAAAAAAAAAACGCAACAAATCGATTGGATTTTCTACAGTATAAAAAGAATCATCGAATCAATTGGGTTCTTTTAAATGAATTTAGTAATATGAAGAATTGTTCGTTTTTTTTTTTGTTTTTTTTTTTGTTTATTATTATTTGATGTTCTACGTGTGAATTATTATTTCTTATTAAGAAATAATTAATATTATTACAGGTATATTTGTTAAATGTTTGATAAAATTATTTATTTTCATTAGATTATAAATACTCCTTAAAGTTTTTAAAATTTTTATCAAAACGTGCTTTTCTTCGATCTTGGGTTTATATACATTTCACGCGCTTGTTTTAATACCAACGAAGAAATACGAAGAGAAAAAAACGATTTAAACTCACAATTTTTTTTTTATTGAATGCAGTTTCTAGAATGCGTTCTTATTTTACCTGTGCGTTTACGTTATTCAACTTTTTTTTTTCTCATACTGCTTTGTCCAAAAAGCAATAATTTTTTTGTATTTGTTCTGAGTCTTATTATTCCCAATTATTTAAAATTAAATTTTACCTTAAAATATAGCCATAAGTTAGCCTATGTTTAACCACATAAGATTATCTTTATAACTGTAATAATTGTATGAAAATAATCAATATTGTTTAAATTAATAAGCTTTTTTCATATCAATTTTTGTTTTAAATTTATTTTGTATAAAGTATTCTTAACGCTCGATTTTTTTTTTCTTCTATTCATTGCAAAAGTGCCATTCATCATTTAGTCATTATTATATTCGCTCATTCTTTCCATCATTTACGGTTATAACATAATTTAGTTATTCATTTAGTCTAAATATCTAAATGGGTCAGTCACAAGCTCTCATTACAATTAATAATTTTAGTTCGTTTATTGAATAATTCAATTTTTGTTCTGTGTATCATTTATGTATTGTTCTTTCATCTGTTTTCATTTAAATTTAGCTTTATTTTAAACAATAATAATCACAAGTCTTTTGAAAAACCTCTCAATTGTAGCTTCAGTTTAATCTTAGAATCGGAACATTGTAGTCTGCTCTTTCTCTTTTACACCGGCAGGCACACAAACATACAACGAATTGTCGGGATATTTACGTACATTCAATTATTAATCCTTGATTTGATTCAATAACACTGGGTCGTTCACCGTTTGATTGTTGGTGTGTGTGATGCACGTAATGTCCGTTTGATTGTGCCTGTTGAACTGTAGGTGGTTGCTGAAGAGATTGGTTTTGAGACTGTTGCTGTGTTTGCTGCTATAAATAGTGACGAAAAAGAATTTTTTAGCAAGGACCAATTGATGATTCATTTAAGTAACAATAGTAAGCAGTTATTTAGATTTAAGATGAGGAAATATGCTTGCGGGACAACAAAGCTACATGATCCCTTTTTTTCAGTTTATGGTTCAAACGCCACCTAGCGTAATATACACACAATGTACGGCAATAACAGATAAATGTGTAGAGAACTAGGGTGATCCGTATCAACCATGAACTGAATAAAAATATATTGAATGAAGCAAACAATAGAATTTTACGAATGACCTACTTGGCTTTGTTGTTGTAAGAGATGGTTCTTTTGGGATTGGTGCATTGGTGGGTTCGATTGTAGTGAATGCGCATGAGAGTGAATATTTAATAAGCGCGACGGAGAATTGGGCATATGATGATGATCTACATTACGCATGTGAATCTGTTGGACCTCGTACATATCTTTCGCATCATTGTCGTGTTCTTTATCTGTATCAAAAATATCAGACAAATTTAATAGTATTTTATTGCAATAGGGAAAATATTGATTGCAACAGAAGCGAAAAGAATATTCAACTTACCCAAGCATTCGTTGGTGGCTGCTGCTGCAAGTGCTAATTCCTCTTCAATATTGTTCGGTTTACAGCTCGTCGTCTTCCAGTGTGTTCGAAGCCCTGATGCACTGATATATTTTTTGTCGCAACCTTGACACACATATGGTCTGTCGTTTGTATGCAACCGTTTGTGAAGTTTTAAATGCACAAATTGCGTGAATTTCTGCGGGCATAAGTCACAAGCATATGGCTTTTGACCACTATGCAGACGAAGATGTGTTTTGAGATTTGATGTAGATGAGAATCGTTTTTTACAGATATTGCATTGATGAGGTTTTTCGCCTGTGTGAACGAGATGATGCTTTTGCAGGTGGGCAAGTTGTGTAAATGATTTAGTACAGACGCCGCATTGGAAGGGCCGTTCACCAGAATGCGTACGTAAATGCACTTTTAAATTGGACAATTGTCCAAATGTTTTGCAACACACGTTGCACTCGTAATGCATTTTTCCATCTTTCTTCTTTAATGGATAAGGCAAACTACGATAGCCACGCGACGTACCGCCAGGGCTCAGTGGACTGCCACTTCTTGTGCATGATCCATCTGGACTAAGACTACACGGTGGCGATGCGCGCATCGGCGATAATCGTTGCAATGGTGTCAGTGGTGTCATAATCGGATGATTTAGGAGTTGACCTGTATACAATGAATAAATCAACCATCGATCTGAATGAAGTTTTTCATTGGTTGTGAAACTGATGGAGACTTTGAATGAGTGCACTTACCTTGTAATGAGAGCAAACTTCCCGATGGAGACAATGAATGATTGGAAATACGTTCGTAGTGACCGTTACTTAACGGCGGCGAATACGTAGAACTAGGTACATGTGAGATTACATTGTTTGCTGATGAAAGCATGTACGAAAATGGTGATGTTCGGTGTTGTTCATATGTCATCGAAGCTGGTGTACTAGTTTGACTTCCATAAGTTAACGATGGTATAATCGGAGGAGTTGGTGACCGCTCCTTTGGCGTGTCATTTGTTTCGATTGTCTCGGGGGTATTGATCGATTGACAATTTGGAGTATAATTTGAGCTCGAATCTGGACTACATGCGTTTCCATACCGGTGAGATTTTTTGTAGGAATATGCCATTTCTGTCGGAGAAGTCGGTGGCGGAGTCGCGTTAGGTTGTCGTGTTCCTAAATGCATAAAATTCAATAAATAATGTTTCTTCTTCTATTCGTCGATTATCTACATCTAATATTGTGTTAAAACATACCGGAAATTACACGATTGCCCGTTAAAATGGTCTCTAAAATACTAGAACTTGGAGGTGTGTAGCCCATAATTGGTGACGAAACAGTTTCTGAAGCCGTTGCTAAATAGTTCAGATATGAATATAGAGATTAGTTTTGAATTTTGGAACATTCTATAGCTACAACAATGAATAGCTTACCTTCATAATATGGTTTCGTTAAAGGAACAATTGTGTGTGCTGATGAGTTTTCTAATACAATCACCGTACTTGTAGCCGGTGTTATAACGCGACGCGGAGATGATGGTTCTTTGGACTGGAGAGGCATAAGTTCGTCGTCCGTACATGGTGAGTCCTTGCTAATTTGCTCCAATTTGATGGACTTCTTTTTGAATTCGTATTTCAATGGCATTTTCATTTTCACTTTGCGGTACTCATTTTTGTCCTCGGATTTGCACAGTACTGTTTCTTTTGGCTCAATCGCCTTTTTCGAGCAATCTAGTACATAATTGTTTTCATCTTCGCTATCGCTGTAATCTTCGGGTGGTGTTAAACCATCTTCGAAATGTTCATTGCTTTGATAACCTTCATCTGAGCGAACTGATCCATCGTTGGGTGTCAATTGATGTTCGTAATGCGTATCTTTGTGTGAGATTGGAGAATGTGCTTCTTTCTCTTTGCTGCCTTCACGAATTGGCGATTGATCACGTGACAGCACCTGAACCGGCAACATATTTCTGGCCTCTTGATTTTCGCGCGCTTCACGCAAATGCACCACAGTTTGATGTAACGGACGTCCATTTTTTAGCGTTAAATTTTGTTGCGATTGTTGAGACAAATTTACTTGAGATTGTAACTGTGGTTGAACTGTAGATTGCAATGGTGGCGATGGACTGGGTGATGTTTGTGGTGGCAAAGCAAAACCCATCACATATTTTACATGATTAAATGCAACTTCTGGAGCGACCGGTGATGTTTTTGGGGGAAACTTCTTCATTGCTTCTTCCTTGCAGATAGAATAAGTTGTGCGTTCTGGATCCACATCGTATCCCAGTCTTTTGGCGAAATCGCGACAATACCACACCATAAGCTCTTCATTTGGCATTATATCACGAATTGTGTAAAAATAAATGTTGTCCTGATGCTGGCATGCAACCAAATTCATGACTTGCAAACTGTAGGCGGACGCTACAAATCGCATCCAATTCGCCTGTCTTGTATCAGATCCATCGAGATAATAGTAATCGTCGTCCTTGAATATCTAATCACAATAGAGAAAAATAAAAATGTTTCAACGACATACATCTTCAGCCAAAGTATTTTTGTTGTTCAATTTGACGGTGTGGTGTGAAATGAATTATTGGTAAGCGACAAACAATAGAAATGAATTTATTTTTAGGGGAGGGCCAAAGCGACAGAAAATTGGGAAAAGCCCATATTTTACCTTAATGTTTCCGTATGTTACATGAGTAGTTCCCTGCACCTTCATTTCAGAAACATAGCAAGAGAAAAATCTCGTTAAATTTTGAATAAGGAAAATTTTTGCAATTACAATAGAGGGTTGGTTTGGACTAGTTTTGTTAGAGCATATATTAGTAGTAATGGCTATAATTAAACCAAAAAAAATGGACACGAAACAAAACCAAAAATGAACTTCCCAATTCAAACAAAAATGATTTATTTAAATATTTAAATTAGCTAATATAGAATACGAACCCGCCAAAAATATCTCCATGAACATTTATCACTTGGATAGTTTGGTGTTGGAATCCCTTCAAAGGGTCCGAATCGAGTTCCACGTGGAATGACGCCCGTACTCCACACACCTTCAGTCTGTTGGACGACAAATATCAAATGATTTATAAATGCACTGATACAATACAGCTTAATTATACCGGAATAGCCACTATCTCTCTCACTCTTGCATGAATTTCATCAGTAGCTACAACTGAATATGCGTATATACCTTTACACTCGGCGTAGATAGAACGAGCGATGGTTTCAATGTTAAGCTTCTTGGTAGAGTTTTTTCTGCTCGGCTAATGGTTCCACGTTCGCATGAAACATCGGGCACAATATAAACAGCCAATCTCTCAAAATCCTCCTCACGCATACGAGTGACATCATATTCCTGTTGACCTTCAGGTGTGATGCTTCGAGGCTGGCTATTAACCGCCATATTGGTCTGAACAGAAAAAAAATTAGACAAATAGATAAAAAAAACATTAATACGGCTTTCGATAAAATTAAAAACTCGTGATATTAAATAGATAAATGATTTAAGTCGTTCAGCAGATAAACCGCCAGTACTGAAGAAAAGCGATATCTCAAACACAATGGAACTATAATGTCACAAACAGTTGTTGTTCTTTCTTTCCCTTTGGCGTTTCTTCTTGTCCACTGGGACAGAGCGAGCTTAACTGCGTCATACCCAATGTACTGTGTGCCACAAAATAAAAACGAAATGTTCTAAACGATTTTTAATAAATCGAAAAAATAGCAATTTTCGACGTAAAGTAAAAAAATGTATTCAATTTTATCGATGAACTAACAAAATACAGAGAGCCAGCCGATAAATAAAAACTACTGTGTGCTCATCACATTGCAACTACATAAAAGACCGACAACTCCATGCGAATGGCTAGATGCAGTTGACTAACGTCTAAGTACGCTCACATTCTCAACCGTATTGCACACATTTTGCGCGCACATCTAAAATCTCCCTATACACATCCGTATATTCATTTTACAGAGTCATTTTAACACATTAAGCTTCCGCATTTGCGATACTCGCAGCGAATCTAGAATACAACTAGCGAACATATGCTTGTGTTGCAAATCAAATGTCGAATGAAAAGAAAATATGGGAAGAAACCAAATACTCTGAATTAAGAAAATGATCGAGAAAAATCAGTGACGTATACATTATATGGCGTTATGTTTCTAATCTCGAATAAGATTATTCTAAAAAAAAAACTGCATGCGACATTAACAATGGTTAATGAACATTTAACTGCGAATAGTTTCTATGCGGCAACTGCGTTCAATGGTTTCAATGGAAATTTAATGTCGAATTTCGTGTTGTCTAAATTTTTCTATTGTCTCTGTAGTGAACGTTACAAATACATTCAGCACTACATATCTAAAATAATGTGCGTTTGAAATAGCAATGTAAATAATTATGATAACTGAATTCCACCCTGATTATCACAATCACATATAGTACATAAAATTCAAATGCTATCAAATCAATAGCACAGATCCCCATGCAATTTATCGCTTATCACAAATATAGGAAGCAATGCACTATAATTTTATTCACATCTTCTATTTACAATTCCACGAATCTTGATATAAGATGACCTTAAAATGGGCAATCTATAATCACGGAAAAGTTTATTACTTAATTGAACTTCTATTCTATTCGTTCGATGATTTTCTATGTGTCGCTTGTAATCCACAGCGTCTGCCAACGGCGTATATATAAAATTTTAGTTTAGTATTTGTGTTGATTGGTTTTGTTTAGCCATTTCATGATTTGTCATGTGCATGTAAGTGGTAAGCCTTCTGATACGATTCTACTTGCATATTCTTACAAGTTTAACAAATTGTTGAAGGAATAATACGACGTAAAATGGAAATCAAATAGTGCATTAGTTTTCTTAATGAACTAGACAGTACCAGCACATAGATGTGTTGAAGTATGCGATCTTTTTCTAAATTTCTATCTCTATCTCTTTTGTACTCACTATAGCCACATAGCTGTGAGATTATATAACAGTGATGATGAATTTATTCATCATTTCCTGAATAGTTACACAATATTGGACCAAACAGTTATCCCAACAAGTTTATACGTTTAGTCCAGCTCAGGTTTACTATACATATGTTTAAATATTCTTTTTTTTTTAGTTTTTGTCATTATAAATATCAACCATTCTATCACTATCGCTATCACATTAGAGCAGTGCAACATTTCGTAAAACAAAATACTAATGCAAATATTGTTCACAATAAAATGTGTGTAAATGTACGGTTCGTCTCCAGCACACCTCAATTACAACTTCGATATAAATAATATCCGCCTAGTTCATGTGATGTTTTCATGTCAATACAACAATTTTATGCAATAAAACTGAATATATATAGCAAATAAAGAAACTACAATTTGATAATTTCCCGGAAGACTAACGATGACGAATCGCTGCAATTATACACAAACAAACAAGCTAGCGAAAAAAGCAAAACGCGGTTCCATTGAACCTTGCACTTGACATATAAATGTAGCAGTCGAAAATAAATAAGACGATTCAACTGAGTGCATACAAATGAATGAAGGAGTAATGAAATTGAATCTCTATAGTGTTATGCATAAATTAGAATATTTTTAGATGATCAATTAGCAGCTGTGCTTATGTGGCGATCCCAAAATAAATAAAAAAACACGAAATTGTTTCCCTTTGAAGGTGTACGAATTACAACTTTATGTGTTTTCTTGCCATTGTCACTTTTGCAATTCGAAACAAGTTCAGCCATTATATAATTTCATTTGTTTTTTTTTTCTAAGTATTGCAATGCGAGAAAATATGGTAAGGCGTCGAGCTATATAATCTGTCATTTGCCGACTGTTAAGTTCATTTCTGAGCCAAAGCACTAAACAAGTAAGCAATGTAAGTGCTTGTATAGCATTCACACACACACACACACACTCATTTCGACGTTGCAAACGACAATAAGCAAGCCGTTAACTGTGTGCATTTGAATTGCGCATATGTTTGCAGATGCAGCTAGTATTCGCTAGCGAACCTGCACACATAAGAAAGTGTTTGTATGTGCAATAGAGCTAGCTACTGTATAAATCATCATTTATATTAGTTCTGCTTATCGTTATCATTGACCATGAATTGTGTTGCGGTTTTCAAGGTAAAAGCTAGTATGCACGCGGTAGTCATTCTTTTCAATTTCGATGATTTTATTAGATGATTTGTGGGAATTAAGCAACACTCACTCATCAGAACGAATTATCTCACAATAAGATGTATCCGAATTGGCTACGAAACTTCCTCCCATTGAATGCTTCTGATCTCGTCCACGTTCAATAGAGAGAAATAAAGTGCGCAATCAAAATTTTAGCAAAGATTATCAAGGAAATAGGAAAAATATTAATAAGGGCAAATGCGCACCGAGCAAAGGGAGGAGAAGAAATAGAACATGAATGAACGAAAGAAAGATAGAGGGAGATATAAGTGGGCATTTGAATGATAATAGCAACGCGCATTATGACAGTTTTTTCTATTGCGAACGTATATTCGTGAGTATATGCATTCATGTAGTAAGCACAAGTGCATCTCTATTATTAGGTGCAAGGTTAAAGTCATGTGTGTGTTTACTCATCTGTACACAATTTCATTATTACGTGCTAATTTTTATTATGTGTTTGTTTTTTCGTTTTTTTTTTTTGCTATGTCGTTGTGGACTAAATTTTGCATAATTTAAGTCTCTAAGAAACGTAAAAAAATATTTTTTATTCATTTACCTTTGTTACTAAGCGAGTAAGAATTCATTCGTTTGAAACTTTACTAGAAACCCAGTGGGAAAAAAAAATAATAAACAATTTCCGATTGGCAGCTTAATATGTACGTTGTCATTTTCAGTACATACGTAATAAGAGCGTGCACTTGCGCTTGTTGTTATGTGAACTTTGTTCAAAATTGACTAATTGCGTCATATTAGTTAGGGTTTATTTTTTGAACAGAGCGTCCAAATCGGAACAAGTTTGTAATTCGTTACTGACTTCATTTTGTTTGTTCAGAAAATATTCAATTGAATGTAATAAAGTCGCAAACGAAACATTTGATTTTTTATTTCTCAAAGCGGGGGATGACGTTTTTCTACCCAAAAAAAATTCTTTAAAATGGTATCTATTCGATTGCAAATTTGATACATAATTTAGGTATTTGAACTTAGTTTCATGCTTTTCTCACTGGAAGCAAAATGAAAGCGAATTGAATCCATCATCAATACGAAAAGATTTAAATAATCAGATTGAAATAATTGCGAATTCATAAAAGACAAAATGGGTGAGACCATCGATTGGTTTTCGCTTGCGTTTACATTCACTCGTTTATTGCGCAGCAAAATATATTAGAAAAGTGATGAATACATGCGACAGCACGGTAAAGATAAATGCCAGTCTAAATGAGAATGAAAAATAAGAATGTCCACATACACTTGCAATGACAATGACAGTGACAGTGACAATTGCAATTGAAGTTTGGTATTTGGAAATTCGTTGTGTACACCACACCAAGAGTAATTACAGTTGTATGCTAGAGTTCTTCTTGAGAGAACTATAAATGATCGGGAATTACATACGTATCGTCACTATAGCTGTAGATGTTGATGCATTTGTTGTTGTTTTCTAATAGCCTTGAACGTGAATTGTGAAAAACAGCCATTGCTATTGAAACGTTGAATTCATATTTCATTTATCAAAACTATCAGTGAAGCCAACTAAATACACTGAAAGTGTTTTGTGAAAATGGGATGAAATCTAAGCTTCATTACAAATACAATCGAAACTAATGAAATTGTACGAAATTACAATCCATTTGGGTAAAGAGAAAAAAGAAAAAGGATATTCTTTGGTAACTAATTACACAATTTCATATTTTCCGAACGTCTCCCGGTTTGTTCAATTATTTAATTTACTGAATTATTTTTGACATGTGAATTCAGCTTTCAATGACGGAAATACCATCCAGTTTTTTTTTTATTGCATCATTCATTTAGCTTTGATATTGGTCAAGCTAACGATAGATGTGCATAATATAAGATGGAATGTGTAGGTGGTGTGGTAGGTAATAGCATTTCAAGGAGCAAAACTTCACTCACACTGGGAATCAACTAACAATGCATTGACGTATGACGTGATCGCTTGATATGAATATGAACATCAATTTGCTTTAGATTTCATATATGAAAATATATATATTTCCAACTTACAAGTTTTTTTCGTCTATGTTACTGATGTGAATTTTTCTTCACCTTCACTATCGTTTTGAAGGATTGGTTATAAATCTTTATATACACACGAAGAGTGTGTTTTATGATCGTTGATTCTGACAATTTCGTTTGTGCTGCCGCACTAAACTCTTCGCCCATATAAATTTTAAGAATAAAATC